GGCGAAAACAAATGAGTGAAGCTTGTTTAAACCTAAGACCAAACGAATCAAGAAATGCATCAGTTCATAAAGGTTATGTATACCTAGTACTTCGTATATTGCATCAAAATGAAAGATACAAGACAATGTTACTCCATATATTAACAAAATAATTTTATTTTTACTTTTGGGTACTATACATGATTACATGTGCTATATTTCTGACCCTCAAGAATTAGTCATTTTGGTGCAGGGCCTAATTATAACGAAATAAAAATAACAAATACAATCTTGGCAGTATCATTCTTATAATATACACATTTATAGATCAAATCTGATCATTTCATTTATGTATTCTTCTGTCCTTCTCAATTTCATATTCAATATTGGCAAAACTATGCATTACAATTTACAAGTTATGCAGAGCATGTACTGAGATTCATGTGCGATTCCTGACAAGAATTATAAGAAATAATCAATTTGCATATATTTTTAAGTACATTATTAAGGTGCTTTATGTCCAAAAACAAATAAAAAAATTAAGCACATGATGAAGAAAACAACAATATCACATATGCTTGGTCGAGTGTGTGATTGCCAACTACTTCAATTAATTATATATGAAGAAAATTGATTATTCAAAAAAAAAAATAAAAAATAAAAAAAATAAAAAAAATAAAAAAACAAAAAAAAAAAGGAAGAAAATTGAATTTCGTATATATTATTACATGATTGTTTCTCCATCACTCGGAAGCCGTACTTATCGAAACAATAAGCTTCAACATGTCCTGATTATTATACACATTAGCTCAAAAGTTCCAAAGATTTATAGACTGTTTAGACTTCATTCTCTTCGACTTAAACAAATAAAAAATAATTTAAGTTCACTTAAAAAAATTCTGATAAATATTAAGTTTTTTTTTTTTTTTTTGACAAGTATTAATTTAAGTTCTACTAAGTTTATTTTAGTAAAAATAATTTAAGTTTAATAAAATAAGTTGTACATAGTAATAAATATGATAATCTCTAAAATTAATAAAAACAAAAGAACGCATATAATAATATAAAAATAATTTTTAATCAATAAAAATAATTTAATTTCAATAGAAAGTTATTTAAGTTTTAAAAAATAAAATATTCATTTTCAATAAAAATTAATAATGTTGAGCAAAATAATTTTACTTACTTCATTTTTTTTTTTTTTGAAATAAACAATTCATTAATAAATAGACATACGACATTCACAAATGAAATCTAAATTTATCAAATACATAAAAACAAATAAAAAAAAGTTATTTTCATTGAAGCTACGATCATTTAATAGAACTTGCACGCAGGGGCGAGGCAAAGAATTTCGGGGCCCTATGCGATTTTTAAACTTGGGCTCCCCCTTTTTCATAATTTAAAAGGAGGCTTCATTTAAATAATTCTTTGTAAATATTAAATTCAATTGTGACATTAAATATAAAATTACAAGAAATAAAACCATAACATTTTCACGAGTAATTTCAAGGCCGATCAATTGTCTCAATAATTCAAGTATATAGCAAAAGACATTATCATAAAAAAATTTAAAGCAAGTTGTATCTAAAAACTGATCTGGTAATTTAATTCATAGACAAGATGCGATAGAAAGTTCAAAAAAAATTAAATAAATAAATAAATTCAACTAATCGTTGATTGTACTGGTGAATTTGAGAAATAGAAAATTAAGTGTAACTTTATGTAAGAAATTAAAGATAATAAAAAGATAAGTATAGAAAGAGAAAGGAAAAAAAAAAGTATCGTAGTTTTCAATCCAAAAATGAGTAAAAAAATTAAGGACTTAGTTTTCTGCACAAAAAATAAATAAATAAAAAATATAACACATGGGTTGATGGGCTCAGGTGGTGGCAAAGGGTATTTATTTAAAAAGTTTAGTGTAGGGGAGTCGAATTACTGATTTCCATTTTCAAACTGATTGCTCCTAACCAGCAAACCAAGGAGATTTCTATTTAATGGTATACTCATAAAAACTATTTATCTGATTTTGGGGCCCCAATATTTAGAGGGCCCTGCGCAGTCGCTCAACTTGTATCGCCCTTCCGCCGCCCCTGCTTGCACGCACTGTGGTACATCCCTCGTACACATCGCTAGAATATGCAGTCTTTTTGGAGAGACAATCTAACGATTTTTTGTAGCCAAGAGGATGAATTTCATTTGATTCATTCAAACGCATTTGAAAACTTTACAACCTTTGTAATCCCACACGGTTCTTTACCAACGAAACAATTGTAGGGCAAAAGAAGATAGATTTTTTGATAAACCCTAACCCGGCCCACAAGAATTCCCTAGGAAGAACAAACAACCACCCTAACGACCAACAACTACACCAACAACCAACAACTCCACCATAGGGGAACTGGTACATCTACACTACTCGTGTAGCTTTATTGAAAACAACAAGGAGAATTAAAACAAAATAAGGAGAATGGGTCGGAAATAGTCTAGTTTCTGAAAAAATTATACTATTTTCGGCCTAACGGCCAAAAAATATTAAACCCTAGGGGAAAAGAGGACGAGAGGGAAGAGAAATAATTTCACTTCATAAAGAATGGATAAAACAATCGTGCCTTAAACTTCGTTTTTTTTTTTTTTTTTTTAAAAAAAAAAAAAAGGCTTATACTTTTGGGTCCCCCAGCTCCTTAATTAATAATTATATCCAACACTAGTCTTATGAGCCCAAATACTATAATATCTCCATCATGTCATGATAAAATGAAGTCAATGCCAGCTTTTTAATTAACAAGATGACTTAGGACTAGTTTTAAATACGCGTAAGTTTTAAGGGTTCATTTGGCATCAATGTAGTTTTCATATTTTTTATTTTTTTTATTTTTTGGTTTTTGTTTTTTAAGTCCTACTCGTATATTAGTATACGTCATGTTAAGAATCCAAGATTAGTTTGAGTTGTTGAATAATAACTTTTTTAAAAATTGACAATTAATAAGTGATAACTGCTTTTTCTTATTTCTTATTTCTTGTTCTTGTTTTTTTTGTTTATTATTAATTAAAACTAGTAACAAAAAAAAAAAAATACTGAAACCTAAATATTAAAAACAATTAGGAACAAACCCTAATGCCATTTTATATATTTTTTTTAAGAAAATGTATTTCTCTTTTGTAAATGACATAATGGAAAACAATAATATAGATTTCTCTTAAATGTATCATTAATTCATTTGTTGTTCAATTGATCTCTCTTAACAAATGTAAGTGTGGGTATGTCTTGAATCGATAAATTTTAAAACTCACAATTCACTTATGTCATCAAACTCAAGTGGGCCGAATAGAAGGCTGGACGCAAATTCTTAGCTACACACTTGTGTAGTGTATAGCTAAGCTAGCAGCACCATTGCACCCATATATGAACATATAGTAATTTAAAAATGAATATACGTTTTTTTTTCCCTTCTTTATATTTTAACTCTCTCTCTTCTTCTTTCTTACCTCTATTAATCTTCTTTCTCCTCTGTTTTCTTCTCAATCTGAAATTTTCTCTCTCCTCATTTTTTTTTAATTTTTTTTTACCCTTTTTTATAAGTTAATTTTCTTTCTTACCTCACTTTCCTTCGCTTCAATCATTATACTTCTTTGTCCTTCTAATTCGGATATTCTCCAATTCGTCACCATTGTAGCATTTTCCATCATCATCATCATCATCGTCACAATCATGAAACTTGAGGTAATTTTTTTTTTTCATAAAAAATTATAAATATGTGAATGTTGTAAAATTGTTGATTTTTATCAACTTTAATTTGCATTTGTGATTCTTAATCTATTATGTTATAGATCGATAATTATTGTCTCTATAATGAACCAACATTAGATAGTTAAGGTGGATATTCAAATTTTTAGTGTTAAAATAATTACAATCGAATTTTTGTTCTGTAAATAAAAAAAATATGAACGTGCAGTACTTTAAAATTGAACACTTTGTAAACAATGAACATTTAGTACACTAAAAATGAACATTAGTATATAAAAAAATGAACATAATTTAACGATATATTTTATCTTTATTTTTTGTTAATTATTATATACAATGAATTTGAACCTATTAAAACTAGTTGGCTTTTTTTTGAAAAAAAAAAAAAAAAACCTAGCGTCCTCTCTCTCTTCTCTCTCCTAAACTCTAGCCTCCATTGTTGATTTTGAAGGGGCTTCCATCGGATTTCACCAGTGGAAAGCCCCAATCTTTATTTCTTTTAAACTTTTTGTTTCTTAGGTTATAATAATGTCTCCCTCGAAAGAAAGGATCTATCTCCTTCGAAAGACAAGGTTTTTTTGATCTCCTTCGAAAGACAAGATTTTATTCGTGTTTAATTTGGTCTTTAGTTGTGCGGGGCTACGATTGATTATGGCTCGGATTCAGGTTACGAAATCAGCACAAGAATTTTCTTTCTCACAAAATTGCGAAGCGACGACGGATCCACTCAAAAAGTTGTATGAGACAACGAATCGAGAATATGCCGAATTGTTATATTTATGTATTTGGATTCTTAGCCCTTCCCAGATTAATTCTTGTTTGATTTATTTAAATTCGTTTTTATTATCGTTAATTGTCAATTGTAGATGACGTATGGTTTCAATTATTAATGAAATTTAGTGTCCTTTAGGACTTTTTTCAATTCAAAAAAAAATGAATTTGAACCTATATGAATATATGAAAATCATGTTCATTTTTAATGTACTAAACGTTCATAATATTTTAAACGTGTTCATTTGTTTACGTGTTTATTTTTTGGTACTAAATGTTCATTTTATATAATGTATTCACATATTTTTATAAAATGTTCATTTTATTAGGTATGGTTTAGCTATTCTATGATTGTATGATAAATGTTCATTTGTACTATACTAAATGTTCTTTTTTTTTTTTTTTTTTTTTGACATGTCATTTTTTATTACTAAATGTTCATTTTTTGACGTGTTCATTTTTTTATTACTAAATGATCATTTTATTTTGAAGTGTTAAAATTTTTTTTTTACTAAATGTTCATTTGTAAGGTCGTGGTCTATCAATTTTATGATTATATGAGAATCATGTTCACTTTTAATATACTAAATAATCATTTTTCTTAACATGTTCACTTTGTAATATTAAATGTTTTTTTTTTTTTTTTTAACGTGTTCATTTTTTTAATACTAAATGTTCATTTTTTTTTCATGTTCATATTTTTTTTTTTTACTACATGTTCATATTATAGGACGTGGTGCAGCTATCCTACCTGCACCAGCGTGTAGGTAAGACTTTTGGATCCAGAGGACTGTGGAAGGATAATCATTCTGGACTAGATCCATCACATTAATATATACTTTGTATTAGTAACTAATAAAGCCATATTTCCTATTCCTTGGCTTACTAAAACTCTAAAAGGCCCATAGAGTTATACATAGTTTTGAGTCCATAAATTTAAGTATCTAAAATATTGATTACATGACGAGGTTAATAGTTTCAATTTTCAAATCATATCTACACAATATGAAAAGAAAAAATTCCATCAAATTAAATCACCAACTGCTAATTGCAAATCCTTCATAGTCTTCTTCTGAGGCTAAAAAAAAAAAGAGAACCTTTGCGCATTTACGTAACACTTCAAAATGAAATGAGATGAAAACTAAATATTCATATCTCTATATGTTATATAAAAAAAATTCCAAACAATTTTAAAATTCATCGTATTTAGTCATTGAGTCATTAGGCCAGCAAGAGGTGGAGGAGCTTAAGCTTTGAAGCCATACTTCATCTGCAATGGTTGAGGCATTCGATTCTTTGTTCCGATGCCATGACCAATGAGCTTTATTACCATCCAACAATCTTAACCGTCCATGTCCAAAGCTTGCTTCTCTATACTTTGAGATTGATGGCGCAGGATCCTCAAACCTACATATAAAATTGTAAATAGCATGAATCAAATTTAAGTTGAGTTATGCACTTAAATATTAGATAATAAGATAAATTAATGATCAAAGTTATACATTGATCTGACAAACATTACAATACATACTGACGTATTAACTATAGTTAGGAACAAAAGTGAAGTTGCATGAGAATATACTTACATTAAAGCAAGGCCTTCTCTATTTCCTCCGTCACCGATTGTAATATAAATAGGACCACACGGATCAGCCTGGTTGTTATAAACCCTTGTCTACACAAATCAATAAAATTTAATCAAATTATTAATCAAAACGTGTTCAAATAAATACACAAATCTATCAAAAGAAGTTTATTTTAGGTATGATTATTTGAGTGTTTAAACTTAAATTAATGAAGAAATTAAAGATATATGAAGTGATGACTTACAAAACGTTCATAGGCATGGACATGACCCGAAAAGACCACATCAACTCTAGTTTTATACAACAATTCTTCCATAGCTTGCCTCATCTCCTCTCCTTCGCCTTTATGAGCAGTATTTGAGTTGTACCATGGTGCATGAAGCAACACTATGACCCATGGTGTCTTAGCCCTATCAATTTTAGCCAAGTCGATTTGTAGCCACGCGTATTGGGCTGAGTTAGCATCATAGTCCGTGTATGACCCAAGCATTATGATGTGAGCTCCGGTTACATCAAACGAGTAGTAAAGGTTTGAGGAGGATCCACTCTCCTCGTAGGGCATACACCATCTTGCGTTGTATGCCCTAAAGGAGTCGGCCACAAAGGGTATGAACTCAACCTCATGGTTTCCCTCGGTTACCATCATAGGTCGTTGGCTCGCGTAAGGCTCAATTAAACGTCCGAAGGTGTCCCAAAGTGGTTGTTGGGTATCGGCATAAGAGAGGTCACCCGGTAGTAAAAATACATCGTAGTCATTTTGGCCAATATGTTCCAATGTTGATTTTGTCCACTCAGTCTGACCGAGATCTCCTGTATTTTTTTTTAAGGAATGGTATACAAGAAGTTAGAATAAAGTCTAGATCCCCTGTATATAGGATGAGAACATCAAAGTAACAAATGTAAAATGAGGATTAAATAATTAGCACATTCAAATTTGATAAGTACATGTGTATTGCTTATAGATGTTAAGTATTTATTATAAGTCTTCTTGTTTGCTAATATTAAACTTAGGAGTTAGGAATCTTCCAATTTAGTTTTTCCTTAAAAGAAATAAAAATAAGCACAAATGAAAAAAAAAAAAAAAGATGTTAATGTAATATGTGGAGTACTAGAAGAAAATAGAACTGTATATCTTCTTGTTTTTTTTCTCATATCTTTCTTAAAGAGTCTGAGTTGATCCATACCTTATTAATATTTCGTCTCTATAGAAATGTTATACGAAGTATGTAACATTAGCATATTAAATAACTAATGTTGAGTTCGCAAAAAGTTATAGTGTCTGTTTCATATTACTCTAGATATCAATAGCTTGTAAAACCATGATTTCAAAAGGTTGAATTGGATCATGATAAATGAGATGATATGAAAGCATCACTTTACCATAACTAACAAACCATCTAACATGGAGTATCAAACTTTACTAAATTTCACATAAAGGCATGCATCTAAAAAATGTACATACGTTACGTATGTAGTAAACCAGAAGATTAGGAGTTTAGATAGCACATATTTTTTGACTAAAATTATAGCGTGCCGTTTAGATAAAATTCTGTTGTATAAACTTCTATTTTTGGGGGGTTGACGACAACAAGATTTATGCTTAAAGTTTAAAATGGAAAATGGTGGATCCAGTGGTACTTTGACAACCAGAAAGAAAGGCCAAACAGAAACCCACTTTAAGCAAAATATTGTTCATATTGCCAAACATTAGAAAACAAAACGCCAAGCCCAATTTGTTAACTGGGATAGGAAGTTATGCCGTAAAGTGAAACCCAAGTACTACTAATAGACAACGTCTTCTACATACTCACTTTCATTTTTCTTACCATTAAAAATAAAAAAAATAAAAATATAAAAAAAATAAAAAAAAATACTCACTTTCACTTTCATTTTTTTATATAGCCACAGGTATACAGGGTGTCCATCTCGAGTGTAAGGCTCTATTCACATCACCTTATTTTTGTTAAACTGAAATAAATTTTACTGAACTGAAATATTTTTGCTGAATTGAAATTAATTTTACTAAACTGAAATTATTTTTACTAAACTAAAATTATTTTTCCTGATTCTCTATTATATTTATTCTAATTAGTGGCTACACTTAAAATGGTTATGATTAAAAGTCATTTATAACTAGCTTATTATGAGTGAAGGTACGTAGAAAGATGGTGATAAGTCTTCTTGATTGAAATCTCACACTCATAAGAGAATAATTTAATTTTATACAATCACACTTTTAAGAGTATGCATCATTAAATGTAATTTAATTTACCTATCAAGCATAATGTTTTTGGATCATTGAGTTTGGCAAAAGCTACACATACAATTGTTGTTTGTGTTCCCTACATACAATTTTAATATGTCATATTTTTATTGATTAGAATAATGGACCCAAGTTTTATTAAATTCAATTTATTTTTAACTTCTAATTTTCTCCCCTCTTTTGATGATGTGTCAAATTTCTAATGGTATTATATGTAGGGACAACATACAATGGTTGTATGTATATCAGCTTTCATAATATAATTAATCAAATCTATGTTACCATCTTCAATACCTTAGCATATGTTCATCTTTAAACAATATAATAATTAAACACAATTTTTTTTTTAATTATTGTATAATCATATTGTAATAGTAAATAATAAAAAAAAATTAATTACAAAAGCAAAATCTGGCACCGATTAAGATAAAATGTTTAACTAAATGTCGCTAAAAAAATACAAATTAAAAAAATTACTTCTTTTATATTACAGATATATAATCTGTAGTTAAATTCGAACTTGGTTTAAAAAAAAAGAGGGTTTTATGATATGTCTTTCTTTTTGTTTTGTTTTTTTTCTTATTTTTTTTTGGAAAGGACCTTTTAATTTTAAGGGAAAATTGGCCACAATGACACCACCTATTGACAAGGTGCGTAGAATAGCACCACCTATTCGTTAAATATTATATAGCGCAACCTATTGTCTTGGGTGCATAAAATGACATTATTGACACCGGAGGCCGGAGATTCCAACGGAAAACTAAAAATTTGTTTTTTTATTTTTATTTTTATTTCTCTCTTTATGTTAATTCCTTTATTAATTTTTTTTACAACCTCACGTGACTACCTTTTTTCATTGTGGAAGGTGGAAAAGTTCAAGTGGAGTATAGTGAATCAAAGAAAGAATACCAAAAGTCACGTGGGGTATAAATTAATTTTATATAAAAAAAAGTGAAATAAAAAAATTAAATAAATTTTTACTTTTCCGGTGAAATCTCCGACCTCCGGTGTCAATAATGTCATTTTATGCACCCAAGACAATAGATTGTGCTATATAGTATTTAACGAATAGGTGGTGCTATTCTACGCACCTCGTCAATAGGTGGTGTCATTGTGGCCAATTTTTCCTTATTTTAATGACTTATACTTCGTATAAAAGATGTATGAATAATTTTTACTCGTATAAAAAAGCATGAATAATTGAGCATTACGTCTTAATAATGAGCTACATAATCATAGAATAAAATAAATTTTTTTTGAAAAGGAATAATAACCATTATTTTGCACTACATGTAAGCCACACATTGGAAAAAATTGAATGGCACACATATATCCCACGTAACCAAATTTTAAAAATTAGCACAAAAAGAATTGGAGAAGAAAAAAAAAAAATGCAACAAAAGAAAATAAATAACTTACCAACAACGACAAACTCGATGGGAAAAGAGGATGGAGGAGTTTTGAAGGAAAACTCGGGCTGTTTTTTGCTACATCGATAATAATAAGTTGTGTTAGGCTTCAATGGTCCTATCACAACATTGTGTATTCTTCCCGAACTATACAAAAAATAATGGTACGTCTTGTGATCTCCTTTTGCATACGACTCATATTCTCCCGACTTTGTTCCATATTCTACTATTGATGGTGCCATTCCTTTGCCTTCCGTTATCCATGACACCATCATTCGATCTTTTCCTACCAGAGATATATGCACCTAACACACATATTGAAATTCTATTAGTTTGTGATAAATTATATTATAAAGTTGGTAATGGGTGACAGTTAAAATGTTAGCCTAGACCATTATAACTTTAGGAATATAGGGTACAATAAAAGTTGTCGAAAGACTTAAGATTGTCTCAACTTTCAATTGACTATACGGGTTTGCCTAAACCCATCCCAAATATGGTCGGGTTTGTTATAACAACTATTATATATGAATTCGAAAGAGATAAATGATGAACCTGTTGGGGATCTGAAGTGGAGCGCTTGTGGGGAGTAAGGATAATGTTCCGAGCTGGTGGCCGGACAAATTTGGCGGAAGATGCCGCAAGTGGTCGAGGGGTGAAGGAGAGGAAAAGAAAGGAGTTGAGGAGGAGGGAAAGGAGTAAATTTGTGCACCAAGTCTTTGGTGTCGCCATTCTTTGAGGCAAAAATGGGTTTATGTTGGTTGATTTGAGGGTATGTGTAAAATGTACATATATTTATGTTGTTGAGTTGTATTGTGGTGGGATTCTAATGACGTGAAGCAAGTCTAATCAATATATGAAAATGACATGTTATTGATCAACATATTTAACAGAAAATATAATTCAAAGACAGTTGAAATGGACCATCTTATTCATAACTATGTATAGATCGAGGTATCTAAGCATCTAGCTTCGACATTTTCATGTACAAGTTTTCAATTTATTCTTCAAGTAGCATAAGCTTTCTAAGCTTTAATTGCTTAATTAAATTATGAAAAGGAAGATACATGCATGCATTGTCCCAAAATTAAAAATAGCGTAAGCTAGCTTGTATGATCAAATACAAGTAATCCATAAGGACCGTAGCACATGATGAATTTATCACACTAATTAATTTCAGTACTAAAATGTAGCAATTATTACATAAAACAATAATATACTTCACTTAATTATTTTGAAAAGACATTCTTTCAAAAAAAAAATTATTTTGAAAAGACAGAAATTATGAAAGAGGAGCGTAAAACTACCTCATCTTTAACACTTTTTCCTTTTTTTAAAAAAATATATATATATATATGCAACAAGAGCTTTAGTGATACAATAATTTTTTCCCTTTTTTTTAGGGTGAAATTATACGTATGTAGTAGAAATGTAAAATAAAAAGATACGTGAGTATAAGAAATAAAATGGATATAGTAAGAGATAATGAGAGAAAATCCAATGATAAAATATGTTTTCAATAATAAAGAACAAAATATGAATGAATTAGACTAAAATATATGATGGCATTTATTTCAATAATAAAAGAAAAAAAAAACTTACAAAAAAAATACAAAAAAAAAGGGAAAAAACAAACTAAGGGAGTAATTTTAAAAATCTCGTCATTGGCAAATCTCATTTTGATGATTATTGCTCATTTAATAATAAAATGAGCAAAAAATATAACAATGAATGCACTTTGCAACTTGCACCTAAATTTATATAAGAACTTTCAAATAAACTAAGGTTCATAGCTAATTCTAGTATGTTATTATGTATTATATATAGTAATTAATTTCCCTTCAAAAATATATAGTAATTAATTAGTACACGATTGTGGTAGAAATAGCTTGATTGATTATCTCATGACTTCACCAAGAGCATTGTATCTCTACCACATGAATCTATATTGAAAGTAAACTACATATTATTGATAACCTCTTTGCATCAAGGATGTAAAAAGATAATCAACGCAAATAAAATATCCTAGCTAGAGCATGCCGACATGCATAAGTTTAAATAGCAATGTTCTTGAAAGCGAGATTTATTTTGTTTTATTTTGCTATTTTGTTTAAGCAAATGTTCCATTTAAAGTACAAAGTACTCCGTAGTAATAACAATTTTTTGTAATACTTCGTGGTAGAGCAAATATGGAATTTGTGTGTTATTGTATGTATTTCATTAGTACTTTTTTACGTCATTATAATAAAGTCAACATAATAGTGAAAAACTGAATGTGCCATTCGCATATACTTGCATAAATTTAGCCTTGTCCATGTATACTCTTGATATAATTTTCTTTGATTGCTTGCACAAAATAATTTCAAATGGAATATAAGGATAAAGTTAGGATATTCTCACATTGTCATAACAATTATCAATAATTAGTCTGAATAAAGTCAACTTAAATGGAAATTAATCAATAATTAGGCTGAGATGATGCCACCTACCTTGTCGGAAACGAGGATACTGATCCAAAGACTGAAATTCTTCAAGTTTATTGCATTTAAATAATAATGGTCGGCCTTTTGCAATTTTGTTTATTTAAATTAAAAATAATATCATTTTGTTAACACACATATATACACTTTATTTTCTACTCTTAAAAGTCATATCAATAATAACGTAGCACGAGCGGGTATTATCCTTAGAATTTTATTTTTTAAAATAAAAACTCATAGACCCCTTTTTTTTTTTTATAAAAAAAAAAAAAAAAAAAAAAATCAAGTTTAAGTGTCACCAATCTTGACATTGGTATAGCTTGGTATAAAATTAAAGTTATATTTATTTTTGCATTAGAATTTTGAGTATAATTTTTTATAAAATTCAATACAATAACTCTTTATAAAATTTAATAACAAGCATGCATTGTACGGGACTTAAACTAGTTATTCACCAAGTATGATTGTTTTTACACATTTTTTTTTTGTCTTCATATAAAAAAAATAAAAAATAAAAATAAAATCTATTTTTGTTGAATTCTACATAATATTCAACCTTTTGTTTTATTTGTTTTACCTACATGCTATATATAAATTAGAGAGCTTCAAAAATGATATTCTACATTTAGCAAACATACAATTATTTTCTAGTTCTGCAAAGGTGTTTGAATTGTCTGCATTCAAATAACTAATTTTTTCTGCATATAAAAATCAGATAAATATAACGCAACTTCAATTTGAATATTCATAAAATATCTAGGTACGTATGTAAGACTGTAAGAGACACTTTCCTCCGCGTATGAAACACAACAAGAAGTGGAGCCCGCGCACATAGAGTTTGGCTACGGCAGGAAGTTGCGAGAGCATGGCAAGATTGTAGCACTTACAATTAAACGGTTGTCGACGTAACAAATATTTATTGCACCCTACATTACCAAAGCCACACTACACATACATCTCCTCTCACATACTTCGTCTATAAATACATACTATTTTTCATCATAAATCAATCAAATCACATTCCCTTTTTATTTCATATTCTTACATTATTGTTAAGAGATTATAATTAAGATAATTTCTGTAATAAAAATCTTAATTAATGGCAAATGCTAATGTATTATTAGTACAATTCTTAGCCGTCATTTGGGGTGCATTTTCCGGTGAAGTGACAGCGTACACCCGTCCACCACCACGAGAAGCACTGTTGATACCGTCGGACAATTCTTATGGCTCCACCACTCCTCAGCAGGTATACACCGCACCCCGGCCCCTATTCTTTTTTCCTCCGTCTTGCATGTTTTGACGAATACATTCATATAATTAAATTTTGTGTTGAATATTTATGGTGTGTATTAGCAAATGGGGTTATAAAATAAAAGTTTGAATTTCCTTACTTAATGATGTTTAATTGTGGAGAATTAAATTAATTTAAAGTTTATGTTACATCAATTAAGCTAGGCAACATCAAATTGTTAAGTGTGTACTTTTACAATCTACATAAAGATGAAAACATGTATAATAATGTAATTATGAACACAGAATTAAGTGGTAAACTGAATTTCCCATACCTTTTTCTGTAAAAGCCTGTAAAGTTATTGTTTGGTTGATAAAAATGGTCAAGTAATCAAATAAGTTGGGATATACGCCAATATATAAAACAAAATTCTGAGATATTTTGGAGTGTGTAACAACAAAAATAATTGTACTTTTTTGAGAAAATAATTTATATGTGATATATTCAGCTTTATGTAATTATTGGTCAAAATACTCAAAACAATCTCCTATCTATTCTCATTCTACCGCTCCATTATATTAAAATACTATCAAAAGTCTAATTTCTAATTCATAAAATTTTATTTTATTTTAAATTATGTTATAGAATTTTCCGAACATTTCAAAATAATACCCCATTGGCCCGTATACATAAATCACGAGCTTAAATATAATCTGTAGGGCGTGGTTATGGTAATAAAAGCTGTGCACAAAGGCGTACAAGTAAATCCTGGAATCAAAGTCTAAATGGGAGTATATATGAAGAAATCTATTTTGAGCATAATTAGCAGTATAAAACCTGGAATCAAGGTTAATGTGAAACGCAAAATTTGAGGCAAATACATGCACTACTCTCTGTTGTTTGAGATTGGATAAACTAACGAATACGTGTCCTTGAATTATTACACTCTTCTGCTGGCATAGTCTGCTAGATCCTTTATTGCACATTTTTTAGTGTCACACGAAAGTTACAGGTCACAACTCACCGCAAACTTAGTCTACAACCAGTTGGATTTCATGGTTTAAATTTACAATTATTGTTGGTGTCTAGGTTCACTCAAATGCATTAAAAAAAGTGCTATTGTGAATAGTGTAAAATATGCATACAGTATATGTTTAACTTGACAATTTATGTGTGTCAAATCCACACAATTCAATTATATATAGGGATTTTATCTCATTAGACTATAATTTAATCAACTTAATTAATTGATACTTATGATATTGCTAAATGCTAATAATGTATATATGATCACATTTTGAAAATTTGACTAACAATTAGTGACAAGAAATCAAAGATTACTAAAAATGTCATAAACCTTTAATCCTAAGCGTATCTCGCATTAAATTACACCCCTATATATATGCATTATATACGAAGTATGCTAGAAATGTTTGTTAAGACCGGAATTTTACCTTTAATTTAATGGTTCATTAGTAAAAGTTAATTATTGAAGAAACGTGAAATCGAGTTTTCAATTAAAAAGTACCTTGCGAGTTTTGTGCATGCCTAAAAATAAAAAAATAATAATAAAAAAAAAAAAAAAACCCTCTAGCTATTATCCTTAATTTGTACCATCGGTATTTTTGTAATTGTTTTGTGGCATCAGAAATTTCTGAATTTGTTGTAAATATACATTATTATACCAAAAAAAAAAAAAAAATCTTGGATTTCTTTCAAAAAAAAAAAAAAAATCTTGGATCTAATGGAACCCTAATTGGTATATGTTGTATTATTGTTGTTGCTTGTTAATTGTATAGGTGCATATCTCCAAGGTGGGAACAGACCAAATGAGAATAACATGGATCACTCGTGATACAGCGCCATCTAAAGTAGACTATGGTCTCTCATCTGGTGCATATAATAATTCTGTTGATGGGAGTGCTTCAACCTACAAGTATCTTTTGTACAAGTCCAGCCAAATCCACGAGGCCGTCGTTGGCCCTCTGGAGCCTAATACGGTCTACTACTACCGTTGTAGTGAAGAAGCTTCTCGCGAGTTCAGTTTTAAGACTGCCCCTGCTCAATTGCCCATCAATTTTGTTGTTGTAGGTACATTATTCTTATCACATTATTTATGTACAAGTATTTTTCTTCTTTACCCAAAAACAATGAAATCTAATCAATATTTGTAACAATT